ACGCATGGTGTTACATGAGTCTATTAATACACTAATTAAGTTTGCCCATGGAATATTATTATCTTCAATAGTATTAACAACTGCTTTAAAAACAGCTTCTGAATTGCAAGATTCCATCCTTGGATCCTTTGGAGAAAGAAAGGAAAAGTTTTCGCCACACACACTGACCTTGCGTTTTCTGCTTTCAAAGCAAACGAAATTACCCAGATCAAAATAAATAATTCATTATTATTCCTACTTCCTTTTGAATGACGATCCCCGGAATTTCCGGGTATCGAAGTTCGGAGCACAAACACCCCTGCTAAATATAATGAAGACATTTTTCAGGATCCTTCTAAGAATTGTGGGTCTATAAATTTTGCCTTCAAATTATTCTAAACTTTCTAAGTTGCAATGTTTAAAATCCTAAAGAAAAATTAGCCCTATCAATTCTGGAACAGAAAAAAAAAAAAAAAAAAAAACTAGAAATATTTTGGGAAAAAAAATCAATGGAAAAAAAGTTTAAAATTAATTTTATATAAAGATAACTGATACATATTATGAGACAATTAAAGGAAGAAAATTCTTACCATGAAGGAAGAAATGTTCAATTGATTACATAGCTATTTTGCTTTTGCTATGAATTGTTTTTTTAAACTGTGCCTTAAGGCATTTACTATATTGTTTATTTTTCAGATTTAAAATACTGTATAAGGTACTAAAATGGAAAGTAACATAACTTCATAATACGATAGCAAAAAAAAATTTTTTTTTTTTATTTTATTGTTATTCCTTAAATATAATTTCAATATATACCATTATTTTAGTTATTTATCAGTGTTATAATGTTTAAAAAAATCATCGAAAAATTCCCAGATCTCCGAATTAAAAATTTTCGACAGAAACTGACCTTAAAATTTCCAAAATGAAGTAGCCGAATTTAGAGCCGTTTAATAAAAGAATTTGCATCCCCCAAAGCGGAAAGTTGTTTAAGAACTCTTCATTAGATAAAATGAAATAATTTTGAAATGCTTATGTTTGAATCCTTGCTCAGAAGCTCCAGCAACCCAACCTTTGTATTAGAAATAGGAAATATAAATCCATTCAAACAATAATCATATTTATCAGTGAATCGTCAAAAATATTCCTCCAAAATGATAAATCGCATTCAAAATAGCAGTCATAAAAACTACAGAAATTTCAGATGATTAAAATTAAGGACTTTTTAGGACCGTATGAACCCTGGGATAGCAGAGCCACATCACGCCCTCAGGTAGAATGAAGCGGCCCTCTATTTCACAAGTGTGCGAGTGAGTAAAAAGATATTGGGAGGACGTAAAGGCTGAAGTAATTGTTAAGCCCTTTTAAGAAGTGCGGAACGAGTAATGCTCTTGACGGAATAGAAGATGACGCATTATTCGAAGAAGGTGATACTAGCGATGGATAACTCGTTCTGATGAGAGGTGAAAGATTTAGGTTTTAAAGTGCTTGAAGTTATTTCTGATAGGCGTTTTCCTTTGAATCTGTTTTTGTTGTTCTGCTTGATTGTATTATGTTTGAGCTTGCCGTTCATTCTTTATTCATTATTGAAATTCATATAACATTCAAAATAGCTTGCCTGTTAATTTTCTAATAAAAAGTTTGGTAATTGCCTTGATTGTTTTATTTGGCTTTTACGAAGCATTCGCCTAAGAAACCCATTTTAGTAGGTGTACCACGCCAATTTTCCTTGTGTGTGGCCTTCTAAATAAGGGTGTGTCTTATATGCCGTCAAATACGGTAAGTACTTTCAACAATAATAAATTAAGCAATAATCTACACCAGAACTTCACAATTTGTAAGAATTAAATAAATCTGCAAGTATGATACATTGTTATTAAACAATCTAATATTTAACTTGATTCTAAAAGAAATTCAAAAATAAAATTAACTTCACAAATTATATAGTAAATAGCATTAAATTATAAAACATTTATACAGTCAAAAGTCGTTAATCCAGACTTCGGATTATAGATCATCAGTTTAAATTTCGTAAGATGGATGCAGAAATCAAAATAAAAATATGAAAACGTATTTATGAATAAAGCAGTATGATCTAACGGGTATCCAATTTACCAAAAAAAAAAAAAAAAAAAAAAAAGCTAGTTACTTTATTAACATTTCTCCATGTAAGTTGTTTAGTTGCTTGTTTTTGGTGATAATACATTCTCTTTAATTCTATAAACAGACATAATTTCTTGTTCAGTTACAAAGTTCCTGTTCAAGTCCGTTAATTGCTGTGCTGAGAATACCGACTAACTTCAATCGAATTTTTCGTTTTCACTCACCTCTGTCACATTCATTTCTTATCCTTTTTTGCAGCAATTCCACTTGTTTTGAAACGAAAATACTTTCAGTTTGTAGATCCGTGGAAGTTCCAGCATCGGAAATTCTATTGACTAATCGAAAGTTCAAGTGACTTTAAAAATGCTTTGCAGTCTGCAAAAAAAAGCGCTCCATTCGCCGATTAAGGAACAACGCAATCATAAATTAATGAAATAGATAATTCTAGTCCCGTGTTACATTAACGCGCAGTGTCAAGGTCTTAGCATGCGAGAAAGTTTTAGCTTTGAGGTGGATATAGATTCGGATTCTGGGTGTCCGAATTAACGACTTTTGAATGTACTTTATTATAATAGTTCCACATATTTTAGGGCTTTTTATTTAAATTGTATTAACAGTTAGCTTTAAATCTATTCTTTTTTTTTTGCCTTATTTTATTGTGTACTTATTCAGTCCCAGAAGTATACACAAATATTATATCAAGCACCATACTGTTATGTAAAATGATAATCAGCATGATTCGTAACAGAAGCTGGGAAGAGACAGAGAACTGCAAATGCCCGACGTTGTCATGTTGAAAGTTAGTTGTACTTAGTGTTATAGCTTATGTAGACTAGGTGAAATTATAACGCAGTTAATAAAGTCAAAAGTCTATAATGCGGACTTCGGTGATTCTGGATTATAGATCATCAATTTAAATATGGTAAGATGGCATGCAGAAATTATAAAATTAAAAATATGAAACCGTAATTCATGAAATAAATCTAAAGGGTATCAAATTTCAGGGGGAAAAAAAAGCTTCTATTTGTTGTTTCTCATTAAATTTCTTTTAGCGCGCATGCTAAAGCATACGTTCCAATAGTCGAAATTAGAAAATTGCAAACAAAACTATTTGAGTGTATTTGATATTCATAATGACGAGGAATTATTAAATCATATCAAGATGGAATACTACATTGTAAGGAATTATAAGCTTAATAAAATAAAACATCTGCCCTGAAGATATAGTGCTGACGGATCATTTCCCGTTCATGGCGGCGGCGTTCCCCAGAGCAGCGTGAAATTGATGAAAATGACAAACAAAGGATTGCTTTATCCATTTTTGCAGCAATTCCTTTTTGCGATGGACATTCAAACATGCTTCGCTGGCCAGAATCAGAGTTTTTGACATAATCCAAAGTCCGCTTTTCATCATGACTAACAGTCTGCAAAAAATAATAAGCCAGCCAATTCGAAGATAAGGAAAATCGATCGGCAACATAAGAAATAGATAACTTTAGCTTAGCTTATACCCTTCTATATTAAGCGCGCGCGAAATGTTCATAGCGCATGTGTAAAAGCATAATGCATTTATGCATGGCAGAAGTTTAGCTTCGGGTTCGGATTAAGCTTTAGACTATATAAAGTTCAAAAGCCATTGATTGCGTATCAGATCGGCTTTTGCATTATTTTAAGGCTTGACAGTCTGGTACCAAAAGTAAAAAAAAAAAAAAAAAAAAAAAAAAAAAGACTATGATATTCAAGAAGCAGAGTGGTCTGGCAAGCCTATTGATGTTGATGAGGCCTGCCAATGAGAACTTGTGGAAGATCATTATGTAACCACTTGAGAGCTTGCTAAGGAGTTAGACCACACTATGCATTGAATAAACTCAATGTACATGTTCAATCGCTCGAGCCTACATTAATCTGCTCAAATATCAACCTAAGGACAAATCACTTCTGATGAAAACTGGATTTACTTCAACAATACAGGCCGAAAAGGGGGGTTGGTCTGCAGCCAGTGAGCCCATCAGCAGCATCGCAATTTGACTAACAAAAAGATCATGCTTTATATCTGGAGAGATTGTCGTGGTGCTATCCACAAAGAGTATCTAAAAAAAAAGGTAAAACCCTTGACAGTAAGATGCTAGCATCAAGGAAAAACATTGAACTGAGTTCTGGCTCAAAAAGGTAATGTTTCATCAAGATAATGCAAGACTGCATGTGTCTGCATTTGCCAGCTGTACTCTGTATGGACTTGAATGGGATCTTTTGCCACACCCACAATATACACATTGCTCCCCGATATCACACCTTAGAACATCTACCTTTTCCACACGCAGCTACATCTTGCCAGTGCTATCTTCCATTCTGCACAGGATGTCCCACATGAGGATCTGTTTTTAGACTAGTGGCCACAAAGTTTCCAGGCTTTGGAAAATTAAACTTTGGTTCACAGATTTTGGTGGTGATTACTACCCATACTAAAAGTATTGCTTTCATGTCCCCCCCCCTAAATTAAGGACATTTTTAAGCAGAAAACTATCGTTACAACCAGATAATTTGTTGACAGTAGAAAAATAGCAGTTGAATATTGATACCTTGAAGGCAATGGTTTAAACTAAGGGCAATTTCAAGACCAACATCCAAGAAGAATTCAAAGAACATACTGAAAATTAATTCCGTTTTAAAATACCACAGACAATTCCATGAATTTATACTTCAATTTTTTACACTGCATTTATGATTGTTTCCATTTTTTTATTAAAAAATTTTCTTTGCTAATGGGGGTGCAGTTGTCTCAGATTACCCTGTGGAGAAAATGGTCACCCTAAGTAGCGACCTATTTAAGTATTCCTTATTGCAAATTAGAATAAACAATATACTTTCAGCAAGAATTACAAATAATTTTGTGTAAACTATTTGACACAAAACATGCATCCACAAAAATTTTCTTTTATTTTCTTTAGTACATGTTTTAAGCCTGTACAGGAGGTTTGGCATCACCTCCCTTAGCTTCACTGTAAGGGGCTTGAGGCAATTCTTCATCTTTGGGTTCAATTATACTAACATTGTCAGGAAGTGGATGCTTAGGTCCAATTTTGCCTACAGGATCCCATGGCAACATAATTTTAACTTTAATTCCCAACACACCTAAAAAATAAGGAAGGAAAGTTATTGAAACTGATATTTAACATTCAGTCATAAATACACATAAAAATTTTGTTAGAGCTGCTTGAATATTTATTTATGATTAACAGTCAAATTTAAATTATTCTTGGAATAAAAATTTTATGTATAAAACAATACTTCTAAAACTGGATATTGTGAATCAGTTTGAAATGAGGGAAAAAAGCCTATATGCCATTTTTTTATTGCCACAGTTTTGAATGAAATAGGAGGAAAAAGTTAATATATGGAAAAACTGGAGAAAAGAAGGAGGAGCCATATTTTTAGATATACAAGATATTATAGCTCAGATTAATCCTTTCAAGACTAAATGTGAAATCTGCCTTGGGATGTATTGTCCCATTAATCTTGAAAAAGTTAAAGCAAACTTTTAAAATATGGATAAAAACAATTATTTAGAATAACTGGAAACTGCAGAAAAGCACATATTTGAATCAACACGACTGCTAATTAATTCATAAAACTTGGGAGAACTATAAATTAAAACTCTGTTAAGATCGTGAATTAATATACTCAAGAAAAGCTCTCTCCTTGTGGTAGCCAGGACCTTAAAGGTAATATTACAAAAAAGCAACACGAAGTGTGGCAATTAAATGATGAGACTGGTGTCAGAAATGTGATTCACTGTAAACACAACAACTTTTCCCCTCTTTAACCACGTGCGCTACGATTTAGCTTCACGGTTGCGGTGCCGTGCGCTACAATATAACAAGTGATAAAGTGTCTCATTTACAGCGCTCCGTGTCTGCAAGTGCAATCCAGAGCTGTAACTCGAGAAATAAACAATCTCATTGTTAGGTGACGTGTGCACCACGCTATTTTCATTTTTGCGATAAATGCCTATCAACGTGGTGTTCACGTCGCTCGTGGTTTGAGACAAAAGCATCTCCACGTGCATGGCACGTCTTTTTTAGCGCAAGTGGTTAACATACTCCCCTCCACTATCTATACACCACTATACATGTACCTGCCATTGTTCAAAACAATGCTGCAGGTCATTCATTGTCACTCTCTCTTCAACAACTCTGCCATTTTTGCTTTTTCTTTTTTAATGGACTAAAAATGTGTTCCCTTCAATGTACTTCTAACTTTTGAGCACAAATAAAAATCACAAGGCGATGTAACATCTTAAGCTATTTCTAACGACCACCCCGAAAGTTCTCAGAGAAAGAATATTCCTCAATGACTACTTAGGAATTCTCAGGAAAGATGAACGTGACCCGCAGTCACGTACCAATCTCAAGTTTTGTTCCCTCTATAGTTGTTCAAAAGGAGAGGCATTCTTTCGTTCTCTTACATCCGTTTATAGGTGCATTGTCTCAGACCACCCGGTCCCCAAGTCGGAACCGGAAAATTTTCACGGAGTTTTTCCAGGCCTTTCACCAGTATGTCCAGCTTTCAATAAAGGTGCTCACCAATCGAGAGACGCTCTTAAAAATTACAGACCAATGAGGATCCTGGAAATCATTCCGACAAGACCAGGACAACCTAAACAAAAACAGGGAACACAGATCCAGTTAGAGTGTGAGAGTGATAATTAGTTGCGGTGTAGAGTGTGAGAGTAATAATTATTTGCGGTATGCAGAGAGAGGCCGCCTCTCGTATTTTCCAGCTCTGTCAAGAGCAAAGTTTGCTTCACTCTGTCAACAGATTTAGTCGATGGTAGCCGGGTTTGCAGCTTACCTTACTGAAGAGCAACCTGATCGGAATAGCCACCACTGGCTCAGAAAGGCTCGCACAAGGTGGGCTGTAGCACACCAGAATTTTTCGCACTGCAAAACCCCAGGAGAAATGAAGTAAATGTAAACAAAACCTTGAAACATTTTCCTGTTTCGTGTTTATATTTTTTTCTCTACTTTTCAAAGAGAACAATATTTTATAAGTTTTATTTTTTGCGTACAGCCTAGAAAAGAACCCATATAAATTTATTTACGGTACCTCTTGTCTGTTGACTTTGCCGCAACTATATAGCCTATGTGTAAAAATGGTTGCAGCTGATGTGGATTTTGCATAAAGAAGTAAATGAAATATCCCCATTCTTTATGTAGTGTCAGCTATAACAAAGACTGTCTGAAAGTGCCTGCGAAAACGACACAATAAAATTTTCCCTTTTGTGGAAAATACAAGTGCATCAAATTTCAGCGATTTGTTCTGTCAATTGACATCTGCGGCAGAAGTTTACCACCTACTGTGAAGTGATTTGCATCCTGAATAGTGCTCAGTGAATACCGATTCCCTGTGAATTAACTGTGCCTGGAAACAGTTTCTATGCTTAAAATCTATACCTAACACAGGTTATTATTGCTTCATGATTTATTTGAGACGTGTTTCTCTTCTGTCTTGATACGAAAACATAGTTAAATTTTAAGCTGAATTTCGTACTAAAGAGTTAACGATTCAAATTACAAACAGTAATTTATTTGGTGATAATCTTGAACAAATATAAATTATTCAGAAAAGAAAAATATTTAAACAAAAAAGAACTTCAAATAATTAATAATTCATACCCTGTCGAAGGAGTACATGTCGTACAGCAGTTTCAACATAATCATTGGTAGGATCACCACTGTGTATCATTAAACCATCAACAAATTTCATAGATTTTGCTCTCTGTCCTCGCAGCTTGCCAGAAACAACTACTTCACAACCCTTTGCTCCACTTTCCATGATGAATCGCAAAACACCGTAACAGGCTCTGAAATTAGAGAAACATATAGTTATTACAGAATTAAATGCTTAGCTGATAAAATCAGGACAGAATTCATCACAGTCCTGATTAGCTATGAATTATGCAGTATTATACATTACAAGGTTTTTATTGTGCAAAAAGTATTACAGCTACTTTTCATACTTTACTATTTAAATTAAGGCTATAATATTAAGTAATTTGTGTTTACAACTGATAATAAATTTAATCAATACTTTATAAAGTTTACCACTCGCATCACTTTTGCTATTTACATGCAGAAGCACCACAAATTTAAACTGCTTATTTTATTAATGCTTAAAACCTAATATTGTTATTTGAAAGCTAAATTAAGAATTTTATATCAAAAGGGATGGCAACAGCTCTCAGAATTGCAATTTGCTAGGCTAAGTGACCAAGAATAACATCATAGCAATACAGCTTAAAAAATTAATTTTTAAGGTTTAGTTTAGTTTAATTATGGCAAAGCACACTAGGTCTATCTGCCTAAGGGGAGGGATGCCTCCGTGAAGGACTTTCTAAGGGAAGCTGGCTTGTATACACGTTACGCATGGGGAAAACCACAAAAACGCCCATATAGCCAGTCCATTTGCGGGATTCGAACCTCGGACCAATCTACCAGTCTTCAGCAACTTTACAGCTCGGCTCTGGTGGGCATTGATTATTAAGTAATATTCCAAAATAATTTAAGTAAAAAGAGGAGCTTTTCTGAAATTAGAAGTCGGGAAACTGCTTCACGTAGTTATACTTTAACAGAAAAAGCTTAACTAACCGGCATACTCAGAAGTTGCCGAATATCTAAAAATTCAGGATAGTGTTGAGCGTAACTGGTAAAAGAGGAAAAGGGTAGCAGTTCTTTAGATTTTTCAGCTAAATAATACTTTTGACATTTCAATATGTGCATCATATAAAAAAATAGCTCAATGGAACTGAAAAATAATCTGCTGGTAAAACTTTTTTAGCTGTGCGAAATATCGCAAACGTTATTGCACAATATGTGTGCCTTAATTCTTCTGCACGTGATATTATGTAATCGGAAGCAACAGCTGCCTGTATTCAGAGAATAAATTACTAAATAAAGGAAAACGCCCCTTTGCTTCCCACGGTTTTCACCATCATGTGGCATAATTTATCATTGAGCAGGACATGTCGCGATACTCATGTTGATTAACAGATTTACCAGTCTGGGGGTGTTTTTCATTCTAACAGTTAATTTTCCAGAATAGATCATTCTTTGTTTTGGTTGGTAGACCGCAGAACTTTTAGTCCTATTCATCAGGTTGGCACGGACCCCCCCCCGCAACCCAAGTCTGTGGTGTTGCTGCGCCTGCAATGGGGTTCATATTCGAGCTTTGAGAGGGGAGCCCCCCCTTCTGTTCCTCTACCTGCCTGACAAAAAAAAAAAAAAAAAAAAAAAAAAAAAAAAAAAAAGAGAGAGAGAGAGAGAGTATTCGATTGCTTTCACTTTATTTATGCCTTCCAAAACACACTTACCTATTTTTGAAGTTTATACTTCAGGAGTTACTGCAAATATATTATTATAAATATTCATACATATGCTCATAACATAAGCTTACCGATTATAATAAATGCGAATATGAACTGACCACACGGAAATTATTCAAATCTTGATAGAAATTCAAACATGTGTAATATTGGGTGGGAGCAAAAGAATATGGAATGCACTGGAATTTTCTACCACTTTCGCAATTCTTTGACTAATCAAACATAATGCACCTGTCTGTATTCGCATGCACCAAAGGGCATGTTAATGCAGAGAAAGGGGCATAAAGCTATTTCTGATTCACCATCTGACGTTTATTTAGTTTCGGCTTTGGTAGGAAAAAAAACATGTGCATTCGTTAAAAAAAAAGGGGGGAAAATGCTTTAGAGAAAAAGTAAGCACCTTTAAGGGCTTTAATATTCTATTTTCAAATATAAGCACTTAAAAGGACCGCTACGAACCCTGTCATTATTTCCTTTAAATTTCAAAATCATGATGTTTAAAATGACCAAAAAGATATATAAGACATGACAGTGACAAAGAGAAATGCTTTATTTCAACTTTATTTTTCTAAAACTTTTTTCATACTTTTGCTACTGCAATAATCAGAACAGAATTAAAATATTCACGGAATTTTCAAATCACTGATTCAGAATAGTTATAGGCAATAGTAAGAAGTTTTAATATTCAAAATAGTAAAAGAAGATACCTTCTCACAGCAAGTCCTCCAATCAATTTGTATCTTAAAGATTCACATTGTGCAATAGCACAAAGACCTCTTGCTGCTACTTTTTCAGCATATAACTATTAAAAAAAATAAGCATATAAAATAAAACCAGCATTGATACACAATTTCATATCAAATTTTAAATATGAAGAAAAATGCAATAACACCACCACGCATTTAATCCATTTCACTTTAACCAGATCTCTGTTATCCATGGCTTTATGCCATTTTGCTTATGCAAGAGAAATGCACATTTTTTTGCTTTTAAAAAGAATTTACTTATTCATTCTGTACTTTCTGATCAAAAGCATTCTCAGTTTCAACATATGAGATTCCATGTTTATAGTACACACATGGCAAAACCACATTTATTCGAATACATGTGGACTTACTTGCTTTTCTTAAAATGAATTCCCCCCTGTCATTTACCAACAAAATAATACTTACATTTTTAGTCATTTTTGATTATTTTCCCAACTCTGAAAACAACAACACATCATGCTGTCAAGACAGGAAGCACATAATGCTGCAAAAAAGGGTATTAATGTGGCAACCCAGGTATGTGTACGCCATACAATTGTGGATTTCTACTCTTCAAACTCGATGGCTATTTTTCTGGTTACTTTTTATTATGTTTGATGAGTTTGTGCACTTTATTCCCCCTACAAGAAATCACTATGAGACTGAAGTTTGACAGATGATGAAAAAGAAAGCATTCAATTTCTTTAGAAATGAGACATTTTGCTTAGCAGTAGAGAATGCAAAAATCTGCATTCTAAATCTAAATAATAATTTATTTTTATATAAAATACAGAATAATAAAATTTGTGCAATACTCCAATTTTCTTTTAAAAGTAAAAAAGATTACGGTGGAAAACAACAGTGTATTTAATGTCAGATTTTTTTAAAAAACAAAAACAGATCATTTAGCACATGGGTGAACAACAGCCCGCATAATGCAAAACCACAACTTGCGTCTTTCTTGTCTTAGGTAGGCAAAAAATTAACCTCTGACGACAGGTATTTTTTGGGAAGGTCGGCCTGATAATCACATTTACCAACTACCCTCCCCCACATTCTAAGAAAAACAACTTCTACTTGTGGCATGTAGCACCTGCAGCATGAATAGATGACATAACAGCTACCAAAAGAAAATGAAGTATCTCTCCATGGTGAGTAGTGAGCCATGTGAATAAATGCAATAGTTTTTCTTATTTTATTTTCAAGCTATATGGATTTGGAATTGAAATTAGTATTTTGCCTCTCAAAGATTTTTAGTATGAAGATTTATATCAAAGTGAAAGAATCTT